ATAGGTAGGTGGGGCAGCTATGGGAAAGAGCCCAGGGGCAACATCGCAACCCTCAGATCCACTTGGATAGTGCCCCCGTCCTGCCCCGATGGTCATGCCCACTCCCTGGCCTACCTCAGAGCCCCCAGCCCCAGCCCACATCCTGGCCCATGTCCCAGCTCCACCGCCGGGAGCCTGGGCTGTGGGGTGAGGGTGTCTGGCCCTGAGCGCTGCTGTCCCACAGGCGCCTTCTGCTGGCCAACGAGAAGGCAGCAGGGGAGGAGTTCACCTGGACTTAACTAAGTCGGTGCAGGTGGCTCATTTTATTACCCGAATGCAAACCAAGGACCTGGGACGAGGGAGTGGGGGCGAGGGGCGGACCCCTGGGCCTCTGGCACATCGGGGCGCTAGCCGACAGGCCTGGGAGTGGACGAGGGCTCGGGCAAGAGCCCTGGAGGGAGTCAGAACGTTGTGGGACATGGTCTCACGATCCCCCTCCCCCACAGTGATCCTGGAGAAGCCCATCCGGATCCCCCGCTTCCTCTCCGTCAAAGCCTCCCACGTCCTCAAAGGATTTTTAAATAAGGTACTATGAGCCCCTGCAGCCCCAGGCGCTGCTGCTGCTGCTGCTGCTGCTTGTGGCTCTGCACAAGCCTGCATGTGTGCGTGCTTCTGCGTGGGTGGCCCTGCACCTTCGTACTGAGTGGGCGTCGGAGGCGTCTCCCCGCTGTCCAGTGCAAGTGTTGGGCTGGTGTTGTCACATGTGGGGGCTGGAAGGCTTGCTTCCTGACAGGAACTCCACAGCCCGGAGGTGCCCATTCCCTGCACAGCCTCCGAAGAAAGCTGGGGAGAGCTTGGGGTGGGGGCCCTGCTGACTAAAGGAGCACTGGTGTGCAGGGGTGACCAGAACCCCAAAGTCTCCTGGGGAGCAAGGGTTGTCAGTCGCATGGTCCCCATGCTGACTTGTCCTCATTTGAACCCTAACCCAGGACCCCAAAGAGAGGCTCGGCTGCCGGCCCCAGACGGGATTCTCGGACATCAAGTCTCACGCCTTCTTCCGCAGCATCGACTGGGACCTGGTAAAGGCGTCACTGGATGGCTGTGTCCGAGTGGGAACGGGCTCGGCTCTGGGTGGTGTGAGGGTAGGGGTGGGAGCTGGGGGCACTCGAGCCAGGCACCCAAGTGTGTGTGGAGGTGCTGATGGACTAGGGCTAGCTCCATAAGAGTAGGGACACAGGCCTGGGGAGCCCAGCCTCCTGGTGACCCGGAGAGGAGTGGGGTGGCCTGAAGGGTCAGGTGATGCAGCCACGCCCTCCGGGGCCTCAAGGGCAGAAGGGATCATAGACTTGCACCCCAAGGCCGTTGAGATCTTGGCACTTTGCCCCGAGGGTCCAGATGGGTGTCTGCTGTGTGCACCCCAGCCTGGTGGTTCTGTGCAGACAGCACTGTCAGTGCCCTGAGGGCCGTTGTCTGTGCTTTTATGGTCAGTTTTAAAAGCCTGCCGTCATCAGTCGTGTCTTGTTATTTGTCACGTGGTGTGCCGGCAGGCAGCCTGTGGCATCCCCTGTGGAGTTTGGGTGGGAAGACTCCTGATGTTAAAATTTTTTAAATGAGCCTCCGCAGTAACAGAAGAGCTACCTGTGGTCAGCGTTGGACTCCTTGCTACCTGTGGTAGAGAGGGCAGAGGACTAGCTAGAGCACCAATACAGTCCGTGCCCTGACCTTCCCTTCAGTGAGAACAGTAGGGAGCCCAGCTTTAGGGATGGAGAGTGTCCCATCTCCCTGCTGCCCCCAGCTTGCATGCTGGCCCTGTGTCCACTCCCGCCTGACCCCGGCCCGGCCACGTTCTTGTTCACGTGGTGAGCATTGTGGATCTGCAGCCCACGGGGCAGGGGAATCTGTCCACAGCTCAGCCTGCAGTCAATGTTGCCATCACGTCAGCTGACTCCGGGCGACCCCGTGCACAAAAGGACAAGGTGCTGCCCATCCTGCGCCGTCCGACATTGTGGGCATGCTTGCTCTCAGCCACGGTGGCGGCCGCGGTGTATTTTGAGAGCCTTCTGATCCGTGGAGCTCACCCCGTGGCACCGCGTCAGTCAGTCGTCGGTTGTGGGCCAAGGAATCATTGAGTGATTCCAGAAGTAGATCGCCCGACCGTGCGTCCTCCTCTCTGAGCCTGGCAGCTCTGCTGAAACTTCCCCACCACAGGTTGCCCTGCTGGGATTTGAAACACCAACAGCCTCACTTCCAGCATCGCCACCACACAAACTGCCAAATCCTGCCACACTGGCATCCAGACGTTTTCATGGGAGCCCAGGTGGGGCACCCAGCTGGGCAGCTCTGAGTCATGGTGTCTGCCCCTGGGCAGGGGGTCCCGGAGGACTTGCCCGTCTGGGAGTTAAACCTGCGGGCTGCACAAAGACCACCCACGGTAACCTGAGCGGGTGGTCCACAAGGCGCGGATGCCCTCCATCCAGGGCTCTTGCCGGTGGTCCAGCAGAGCCGCCACCTCCTCTGCCACAATGTCCTCGCCTTCCTGGAATGGCCAGCCTCCCCCAGGCCCAGTGAGCACAGGGGTTCCCCCTCACGTGCCCCCAGCCACTGGGTGTCTATACCTGCCTGTGTGTCCTCGTGGGCCCAGTGTCTTCACCGACACACCCAGCACTGGAAAATCGTGCCTCTAATGATTTTGAGGATGGGCCCTGGTGTTTTCCACAAAAGATAATTTTATGCCTGCCGAGACCTGGGTCCCTGTAAACCAGCATCACCCCAGCCACTTTCCTGGTGGTGGCATGACCAAAGCTGGTATGTTTCCACCACCCCCGCCTCAGTTTCTCCAGCTCCGCCCCCGCTGCCACCACGCCTGGGACTGAAGCCAGCGGCTCCACTACTCTCAGCGCAGAAGTGAGCCTATCACCTTTGTGGACTGAGTGGTGGCGGTGATGTGATGTATCCATGGTGATGGTGGCGGTGATAAGACAGAAGCCACCTCGATAGGTTGTCCTGAAGAATGAATTTAAATGTAGAGCTAGGACTCTTGAGACGCACAACCCAAACCAAATTCAATGCCGAGTCAAATCCAATTGGTTGTGACTCAGCAGGACCAAGCAGGCCTGCCCCTGTGGCTCTCTGACACCAGAAAGCCATACCCCTCTCCCTGGGGACCAGCCCTCCACACCTGCCCACTGCGGGCATCATTACGGTGAAAGGCTGGGCGCACCGAGGACTGAGATTTGATTGTGGCATCCCGCTCCTGGGCAAGAGTGAAACCAACCAGAGGGGGTGCCATGTGAGCCCCAACTGGGACCAGGCTGGCATGGAGGGGCTCCCGGCACGCGGGGAGGGGAGGCACAGGGCAGGGGGCAGACCTGAGGCAGACACAGCATGACAGCCCCGCTCAGGCCTCCAATAGAGCCCCCTCCCCACACAACAGAACTCCCCCACCTGCTCTTTCCCCCCATCTCAGTCCCCCACTTATTAGTGAGGTGCCTTTTCTGGAAGCCCCAGTGGGCAGCCCCACTGCTCTCCAGCTCGCACCACCCCGTGGTGGACAGAGCTGTGCGGACCCTTCCTGGCAGGGGGCCGGGTCACCTGGACTGTTTAACCCAATTACTGGTTACCTGCCCAGAGGCAGAAACCCCCTGGGGTCTGTGAACAGCACCCACCCTAGTCCTGGTCCACACCACAGCCAGAGGAGGGGCCTGGTGCCCTTCCGACCTCTTGGCAGCAGGCTTCCCCTAGCTGAGAGGCTCATTCCAGAGACCCTGGTCCAGAGGACATACTCCACCCCCAGCTCCACTCTCTCCATGGTAGTCAGGACCCTCCTCCTCTGCTCTCTGGAGCCTTGGTGGTGCTGTGCACCGGGCATAGGGTTGCTAACCATAAGGCCGGCAGTTCAAACCCACCAGTCGCTCTGAGGGAGAAAAAGGAGGTTCTTTGCTCCCAAAGGTGTAACTGGCTCGGGATGGGATTTGAGTTCCTGGGGGATCATGGCGTACAAGGAAGTAGGCTGTGTTTTGGGAAAGGCCAGAGAGCTGTGCGGAGCCAAGTGGGGGATACATTGAGAAACAGTAGCTTCTCGCTGTGATACTTTAAGACGATTGGAGCATTTAGTGCCCTCGTCCTGCGGCTGGCCCACTCGGCCTTGCGAGCGAGCAGAGGGCACATGAGCACAGCCCTGACCGCGCGGCGCCCTGCGTTTTTCCAGCTGGAGAAGAAGCAGGCGCTCCCTCCGTTCCAGCCGCAGATCACGGACGACTACGGGCTGGACAACTTCGACACGCAGTTCACCAGCGAACCCGTACAGCTCACGCCAGACGACGAGTGAGTCTTCCCCGTGGGGCCGGGCCACCCTGTGCCAAGCTGGGTGGGGGACAGGGTGATGGTGGCATCCGGCACCTGGGCCAGAGGCTCCCCCTTGGCTGAAGCCGGTGCCTTTACATTCCCTTCCCTCGTGGTGCAATGGCTGTAAGCGCTTGGCTACTACCCAAAACCAAAAGGTCAGCAGTTTGGGGACCCCTCCCCTGACCCCCAAAGGAGAAAAGACCTGTCACTCTGCCCTGATAGAGACGGCAAGAAAACCTGATGAGACAGTTCTACGCTGTCACTTAGCGTCACCAGGGGCCTAAGTTGACCCGTTGGCACCGACAACTGGGTGCGTGACGAGGAAGGGAGGGGCAGACACCGGGAGACGTTCTTGACCTTGCTCTCTGTCGTTTGCCCAAAGGGACGTCATCAAGAGGATTGACCAGTCGGAGTTTGAAGGCTTCGAGTACATCAACCCCTTACTGCTGTCCACCGAGGAGTCCGTGTGACGGGCAGATGCCTCGCCCAGGGACACCCGTGTGAATGACCCTTTAACTCTATCCTTAACCACAGCATATGCATGCCAGGCTGGGCGTGAGGCTTGGAGTGCGGCCAGGGAGAGACCGGTGCTGCCGGAGCCACGGGGGGCAGCGTCCACAGGCACCCCCCTCTGGGAGAACAGTCTGGGCTTCCGGACCGACAGATCGGCTCCGTGTGGACAGCATCTGCCCATGCCTGGGGCTAACTCGTCGGGCAGAGGCTGCGGGGACCACCGTGACGATGGTGCGGGCTCTCCAGAAACGGGACTTGATGCGCTGCCGCCGGCTTCAGGAGGGCGTGCACACACGCGGGGAGTGTCCGGGGAATAAAGTGTACCTGTGATGTCGAAGCTTCCTCCCGATGCCTTTTTTCCCCAGCGGCACGTGCCGGCCCCGTGGCGCCCGCTGCCCCACAGAGGAGCAGCACTGGGTGCACAATCAGATAGAGGTGGGGGGGTCGGGAGTTTTAAGTGCCTAATGGGACACCCGACAGTGGAGAATTTGTACAAACTCAGAACATTTTCTAAGTCCCGGTAAGTTCCTGTTGTTAATATTTAACAAGTATTTTCCTACGGCGCATGTCACTCACCTGAAGTCACTCTTCACTGGCTGGGCCCCGCCGGCCAAGGCCAGCATGCTGGACCGTAATGGTAGTCTTCGCCTGCGCTGACCACAGCTCCCGCAGACAGAAATAGGAGGACGAGGAACCGAGCCCGCACCAAACACTTGTCTGAGACCACGAAGCAGAGCCGACGATGGGGTGTCTTGTGTGGGGACTGAGCAGAGTGTCCAGAGGGGCCTGGAGGCCCCAGGTGGTGCAGATGGTGAACCCGCCCAGCTGCTGACCCAGAGGCAGAGGTCCACCTCGGAAGAAAGGCCTGGCGATCTGCTTCCCCAAAACAAGCCGTGGAAAACCCCACGGAGGGATGTTCTTCCGACACCACGGTCCGTACCACGCGCCAGGGTTGGCTCAGTGGTATTTGTGGCCTCAGCTCCAGCCAGCCAGAAGCTAGATTCCTGCGGGCACCCTGCTTCCCCCGCACAGCTCATTGCCCACTTCTGTGGCCTGCCAAGGGCACGGTCACTCAGCTGGCTTCCTCTGGGGATGGGGGAGCAGCTCTTCCCATATTTGGAGTTAGTTAAAAGGTCCTCCCATGCATGCTGTGGTGACAGATGCCTTTGAACCCCTTGTTGTCTGGGCGGGTCCCACCTACTATGGGGACTGTGCCTCCAGCCCGGAGCCGGGCCCCTGGGAGCCCTGTGCAGGGTGCGGCTGTACACCAGGCTGTGCCGAGCCCAGGCTGCCAATATGCAGGGGGCGGCGTGGTGAGGAAGGGGCAGCGGTGTCTCTGCGTGGACTCTCACAGGCTTCTCAGGTATGGCACCACGTCTGGTGCTCAACAGGCACCTCGGATCCACCAGGCCCCGCGGTGCTAGGACGGAGTGCCAAAACGCCAACGGGCCAGCAGCCCCAAGGCCCCACGCTGCCCCTCACGTGCACGCGTGCCTGCCTCAGCACCACACAAGCTGGGCAGCTTCTCCCCAACGGGGCCAGGGTGATGCAGCCGGCACTCCTCACCGGCGCGGGACCAGAGGCGGCTCACAGGATCCCTGCCCAGCTGGTGGTCAGCAACAACCACCTGGGCAGGCGGCGGTGGGAAGCAGCCCTGTCACATGTAACTCCAGGATATCGAGGACGGACAGAAATGGACAGCCTGCCTCCCAAAAGCCCATGTGGGTCTGCGTGCCACGTGGGGTCCACTGGTGCTGGCACAGATGCACGGCCCTCACCCACAGCGTTGCCGTGCTGCCCGGCCGCCCGCGTGGTTGCCCATGTATAAAATGCTGTTCATGAAGAAAAAAATTTTATATAGATTGTTTTATAAATTATAAAGGCGGGGGCTGTAACTGCAGGTGTCGTCGCAGAGGGGCGTCCCACTGCAGCGTGGATCTTTGAAGCGGCCCCCCAGGCCTCGGGCTGGCCAGGCTGCTGGCACGGGCTGGTTGGTTTGTACAATGGCTGGGCGGGGTCTGTTGCCGGTCAGCTTCCTCCCGTGGGCGATTTGCCAAGGTTGTTGGTGTTCTTCACAAACATTAAAGACTCATGAAAACACTGCGGGTGATGTGTTTCATTAAAGGAACTGGGAGGCATGAGACCCTCCTGGGGCCACGGGGCTGTGGGTGGGGATGGGGGCGGCCAATGAGCACAGGAATCCTTCCTTTAGCCGTGGGCAGGGCAGTGCTACTGGGATCTTGGAGAAGTTCCTTGGTTCTGCCAGTGCCTGGGAGTCCTGGGCTCGCAGCATCCCTCTGTCCTCCAGCCTCACCATCCCTCTTATACAGGGGACCCCACTCAGATTGGATAAGCCCACCCTCCTCCAGCTTCCAGAGCCCTAGTGGCATCATGGGTTACATGCTGGGTGCTAACCACATGTCAGCAGTTCAAAACCACCAGCTGCTCAGGATTGAGGCGGCTTTCCACTCCCGGTACTTAAGGTCTCAGAAACCCACGGGGGCAGTTCTACCCTGCCCTCTAGGGTCACTGTGAGTCACAAGTGGACTCAATGACAGTTCGGTTTTAACTCCAGCATGGCTTCATTCTAACTGAAGGCATCTTCAAAAACCCAATTTCATGCGCACAGGCCCCCCGAGATCAGGACTTCGATTCCCACCCCCCCACACACTCCAACCCATCAACAATGTTTCCAAAAAGCAATGTTTTTGGAAACAGTGTTTCCAAAAAGGAAGTATAGATTTCTCCACATGAATCCAAAGGGAAGCGCACAACTTTAATTCAGACTTTTCTACATGACGTCTGGCCCACCTATCCCGGCCAGAGCGCTCAGCAGCTGTGGGGGGACGAAGGTGTCAGGACGCCAAGGTGGGCCCTAAGGCCAGCCGGACAGCACGCACAGGAGAAAGGTCGACAGACACACCTGGGGCTCACTGCGCACAGTACGGAAACAAAAGAGCTGCCCTCGGCCTGCAGCTTCTGTAAACCCCGGGGACCCCCAGCACCCAGGTCCGCGGTGGAGAAGCCTGCACGTCTCGTCCAGTCAGCTGTCCCCAGGGGTGAGCAGCATCCACCGCCCGAGGGACTGCCACTTACTGGGGACCAGGTGCGTCCCCCGGACCCACGTAGGGTGGTTCTGCTCTCACACCAGTTTGAAGCTTAGGCAAGCGCATTTCACAACACAAAGACACTGCAGACAGACGTGATGAGACAGAAGTCTTTCAGGCAGCCATGCAGGTACGGAGCTGATGCAGCCAGAGCCCCAGGCGGTGTCCCCGCCCAGGAGCTCCGCAGTCAGTGAGGGGGCTGCAGGGCCGGGATGGGGGCACCGACATCACCACACCACGTCGTCAGCGCTCCCTGCTAAGCACTGAGCCAGGTGCCCGTCAATGTCCAGCTGGGACTGCCTGCAAGGGAAGGCGGCAGGTTACTCACCTCGACCCAGTCCTGGCCTGTGGGGCTCTGGGCAGGAGGGACTAACTGCCCATCTGCCCATCCTGATGTCAGCGGGCACCTGTCTGCCCTGAGCAGTACTCCAGACAGACAAACTGCCATCGAGTCATTTCCAACTCCTTGGGACGTTGCAGGACAGGGCAGAACGGCCCCTGAGTTTCTAAGACTAACTCTCTACAGGAGTAGAAAGCCTCTTCCTCCAGAGGCGCGGACTGGGGGTTCTGAACTGCTGGCCTTGCGATGAGTGAATGGCGATGTCACCAGGGCCCCCTGCAGCAGAGCCGCACAAGGCGTGCCAACACCTGTTCTGGTTCTCGAGCAAAAGCAATCTCAAGGGTGTCTAAGGAACTGGCAACCCTGAGGCTTCAGTAGACTGCGTCGGCTTGGGTGCCGGCCACTAACTGACCAGGAGCGGGAGAACTGGCTAACCCGAGCCCTGGGCTCGGAGGTGCAGGGGCTTTCTGGTCGACAAGAACCAGAATGAATCTGTCATCCCCTCAGACCAAACGCTGGGCTTCCACCTTGGGCTCCTGATTTCCAGGTGGGAGGCTCAAACCCACCAGCTGTGCCTCTGAAGAAAAACGAGGCTTTCTGCTCCTGTGCAGAGTTACCGTTCTACCTCAGCCCATGGGTCTCTACACATCAGAATGGGCTAGATGGCGGTGAGTGCTTACGGAAGACCAAACCAGAATACGCTTGGCCGGCAAGTCCTCTAACTCAGAGCGACCCCACAGGACAAGGTGGAACTGCTGTGGGGGCTTCTGAGGCTGTCAATTTTTACAGAAGCTGAAAGCCTCCTCTTCCGAGGCGTGGCTGGTGGATTTGACCGCTCCCCTCGAAGTTAGCAGGCCCCTGTGTAACCCACAGCGTCACTAGGGCTCTTCCCCTAGCACAGGGAAGCTGACCACCCAGCTCTGGCCGAGGGCATGGTGGCACCAGGCAAGAGCACACCTCTGCCACCCCCAGCAGCGCTCCAGGCCCGGGCCGCTGGGGGGCGCCAGGATGCTGAGCTACAGCTGAAGGAAAGCGGCCCAAAGCTGTTCCAGCAGGAGCTCCTGCCGCTGACTAAAGATGGAGGGGCCCTTCCAGACGCTGACTCGGCCGGCTCCCATTACACCTGAGTTATATCCTCCCCACCTTCTCACCGTCGGTCATGAGACCACCGTCAGGTCTGTGGGCAGACAGCTGAGATGTCACAGTGAACCCTCAAACCCAGCCAAGAAGGGGGCAGCTGGTGGGAGACGCCCAGGAGACCTTGGGAAGGGGATAGCCCTCATCTCCAGCTCCGGAAGCAGCCCTGTGCGGTTCTCCTTCCGGAGCTACCTGCTAGGCACCCTTTCGTTACGCCTGTGCTGGCAAAAGGTGGCCTTGCGCTAACAGCCTGCTGGAGACCTAACAGGCAGGAGAGGGGCAGGGCCCTTTCCCACATGTGCTGCTGCTTTGGGGCCATTCTCTCGGGCAAACGTCCACAGTGTGGCCGGACACACAGCACGGGTTTGTGACAGATCTGTTCTCAGCCGCTTGCTCGGGGACTTCCTGCCTGCAGGATCAGCAATGGGGGGCGGTGGGAGGGGCGGCATCCCAAGTCTGAACACAGTCTGCAGGAGCCTGGTGCCACCGCCACTGGGGCACAAAGTGACCCGCCTCCCTGACTAGCTCGGTGCCCCAAGGCACTCTGCACCCACAACCCCGTGCAGGACAGTCTGGTCCCCAGCCCCGTTCCCACTCGACCGGCCTCAACTGCGGGCTCCTGGGCCCGTGCAGCCCACGTGGCTGCCGGAGGTGGAACGCACTCCCAGCCCACAGCAGCAGGCCTCCAGGGCTGTTCCAAGTCAAGGGTTCTAAACCGATGCCTGGGTTTGATTGGGAGAAGTCAGTCAAGCCTCCTGGGGCTCCTAAAAGACACAACCAGACCTGAAGATGTTGCCTGACCTGTCACCTAAGTGCCCCCTAGTCCTACCTCCTGAGCTCACGTGGCCTCTCCTCACCCTCAGACCCAGCTGGCCCTCTCCTATACTGGCCAACGGTGCCAGTCGATCATCGAGAAACGGAATGGCCTCTGCCTGACCACTTTGGGGCCCGGCATCACCCCCTCTTCCAGGAATCACGACAAGAGTCCCGTCCTTAAAAACCTCCCCTGTCACTAAGAGCCAACTTGGTTCAAAGCTATGCACCCATCACCACCGATGGCTGTCCAGTCAATTCAAACAGCCCGATGACGCTCTGGACAGCGAAGCTGGGCCCTCCTGTGGACTCTTCGAGCTCCATGGTCCCTGCTGGGCCGCCCAGGCTCCCCAGTGGTCACCTGCTGTAGGAGTGCCCTAGGACCCAGAGCTGGTCCAGTAACCAGGGCCTGTGTCCTCCCCCTGCGCTCATCAGAGACAGGGTCACCTCCATAGCCCCAGTGTCCACCTTCAGACTTAAGTACACTCTCTCACCATTACAATCAAACAAAAGAACATGCTAGAAGCATCCCAGACACACTGAAACCTGAACCAAACATCACCAACACACCCTTCAGAAAACCCAGGGCACCCTGCCAAGCCGTTGAAACGGCTTCTTTCAAAGCTCAAGACAAGAGCGTTTTTCTCGGGTCCCTGACTCAAGGAGTCTTTTTTTAGATCATCCGGAAGCATGAGGAGAGCCCCTCCCCTGCCTGCTCCCACTCCCTCATGGTGCAGAAAGGGCAGGCGTCACCCTGATGGCATCATGAAACCTGGGTGCTTCTGCCAGGAAAACCAAGCCCCTCGAATGCCATCCCCAGTGTCACCTGCTTGACTCGTGTGATGGGACGGGGCAAGGACGTCCCTGTGGTACGAGAAGATGGACGTGCTTGGTCAGGGTCAGTGAGCGTGCATGTCAGGCTGTCAACCATTCAGGGCACTGGGCTAAGAAGGAAGTGTACACAAAGGCACGCTGGGTTTGGAAGCATCTTTGCCAAGACTCCAGTGCTGTTCCGGGCTCCGGAGTCTGGGTGTTATGCACAGAGGTGACTTGGAAGAAAAGTGTGGTGAAAGGCATGCTGGAGAGTCCGTCAGCATTGACCACCCCGGGGAGGACCGTTCCGTCCTGAGGTTGCCAGTCGAGCAACCGGTTCTGGTTCTGAGCTGGGGAAGTTTCTAGAAGTACTTCACACAAGCTCACCCTCTCCAGTGGAATGGTCCCACTAACACTCCTGCCAAGCCCACCTGGGGCCTGCCTGGGGCTTCACCTACACACAGTGCACCAGCAGGCCCTGCCGTCTCCCCAGGGCCTAGAAAGGTTTATGCACCAGCATCCCCGTTCCACACCCAGCTGCTGCTGTCTACAATGATGAGTGGAATTTAAACCGGAAGAAACACCAGTTCACATCCAAAGAAGACTAAGCTAGGAGGGTCCTCAAATAGCATACCGTGAATCAGAGTGGCTCTCTCAGTTGCTGGGTACCTGCTGCACAGGTGTGCAAGCTTTGTCTACATGGTTGACCTGGGGCACACGTCAACACCAGGTCCTTCCCAACTTGGTGCTGATAAAAAACTTACAAACTGGAGCCGTCTAGACATTTGATTTGAGGGCCTGTCTCCATCACCCTCTCTCAGAATAAGAGCATTTAAGCACCTGTACAGATTTTGTGCTGTGGACTCTGAACACTGGTTCCAACTGGGCTTTCGAAGTTCGGGGCTAACTCTGAGGTCAACTCCCCTTCACGCTGTGTTGGAGGGCTGTCTTTGATCCTCCACAACCAGACAGGGTAACTTCAGCACACAATCTCCCCACCTGTGAGACCTGGTGCCTGTGGTGGCCGGAGTTAGTTACCACCAGCCCAAGCACTCCCTCTCCTGTACCCACAGCAGTGGGAAGGCCTGAGCAGGCAAGTTCAGGGTCCCACAGGTAAGGAGCCTGGCTGAGCAAGACATGGGACTTCCCCCCGCCCCACCCCCTACCATGTTGGGAAATTCCGTTTGAACTTTGTGAAACTGAGTTCCACTCCTCTTATTTAGAAAAAAGATACAAGACATCTTGAGTTTTTAAGGGAGAAATCAAAGGTTTCTCCAGACACCACCAGCCGGTGGCCTTCCTATTTGGAGACCGACACTAGGTGGGTCCAGCTATCAGGCCTGGCCGGGACTGGCGAGAGGGCATAGCTTCCAGATGGACTTGACCTACCTACCATCCTTTTGGGGGTGGGGGATTTACTCAGCACCCCCTGGCAATGAAAAGCTTTTGTACTATCACCCATAACTCAGCCCTTCCCCATGGGACGCTATCATTCACACTGGGTAACACCCAGAGGCTCCCTGCATCACAAGACGTGGTCTCGCCTGTATGGCTAATGGCAGACTCCCACCCTGGTCATCCAGGCAAGGCAGCACACTGCACACTCAGACGCTTGTAGTTTCCAATCAGGGATGGGGTCCCCTGGGGGTTGGGGGAACACTCACCCGGTGCCAAACTCTGTCTGGCACATGGGGCAGCACTGGAGGGCCAGCGTCGGCTCCATAGATGGTGACTTCTCTACCGGCTGTGGCTCCTTGGCGCTAAGGGTCTGCTGCTCCGGTTCCGGCTCAGGCTCCAGCTCCAGGCCCTGGGGGGGAGGCTGGGCCGGGGTCCCAGCCCTGCAGTGCAGGTAGTAAGGGCGGGCCTGGCACCTGAGAGCCGGCGGGAAGGGAGTCCAGGCAAAGACCTCGCCTCCGGCAGTGAAGGTCTCTTGGGCCGCCGCCGGCTGGGGGTCGCACCTGGGCTCCTGTAAGAAGGGGTGGTCGGGCTGGGTCAGCGTGTGCCCAGCGACACCCGCGCCCCAGGGCACCTCGGTGGCCGCGTGTGCACGGAGCCCGGGGGCTTACCTGGGGCCGGAAGGCGGGCAGTGGCGGGGTCGCGGCGGCCAGG